TTCACGAAATTATTTCAAGACAATGTAGAATATAGGAAAGCTCACAACGTTGTCAGGCACGATTTCATGAATCTACTTATACAACTCATGGAGAAAGGCTACGTTGAATCCGATGGAAATCGACAAGATACCGCCGATATATCATGTAATTATATATTTTACATTTATTTTCATTTTAATAACGTTATAGATTTAATGTAAAATTTTGTGTGCGCAGATTTCTACTTGTATAGAAATCATGTGAATTGAGTGAACAACTTACAATGACCTAATATATTTTTAACGTAGTTATCGTAATCACTGTACGATTTTGATATTTTATTAAAACACACAGCTAATACTAATAAATTCACCATACCGGAAGCGGCCGCGCAAGCCTTTATCTTCTTCATAGCTGGCTTTGAAACATCCTCAACTACAGCGACGTTCTGCCTGTATGAATTAGCTATATACCAGGATATACAGGAGATGGTTCGTCAGGAAATCGACGAGACCTTGAAAAAGCACGGTGAATTGACTTACGATGCTGTGAATCAAATGACATATCTGCACAAAGTAGTTCAAGGTAGGTGCGACATTGCTCTCAAGAGTAGTCCAGAATCTTTGATTCGCAAGGAAACTGCAAACTTCGCGCAATGATAACCGATTACATACAATAAAATGTATCTTTCTGCTTCTTTCTGCTTCAGAGACTCTACGGAAATATCCGCCTCTACCTATCTTGAATCGCGTCTGCACCAAGGACGTAGTTCTTCCAACGACAAACGTTCTCATACCGGAAGGGACCATGATTACTATACCAGTACTCGGAGTGCATCGAGATCCGTCAATATATCCAGATCCGGACAAATTCGATCCAGAACGTTTCAATGTAGACCAAGTGGCGAAGAGACATCCTTACGCTTACTTAGCTTTTGGGGAAGGACCACGAATCTGTATTGGTAAGAGTAAATCGATTTGCGTATTATGTTCTGTATTTTTTGAGCAAGAAATATTAGTATATATTGATTCCTTCATTCTCTTAAAATGAATCAGTCAAACGTCATTGAAAACAGTGAATATACGCTGATTACAGTTATAAATATAGCACTAAAAGTGCTCAGTGCTGTATTCATAATTTATATCAGTAACTATTCATTGATTGACTTTAAGAGAGCAGTTTTTTCAGAATGACATTAATCTTTTGATATTTTTAACATTTAGTTTAATTATGGTATTAATTTTAAATGTACGGAGAGATTTATAATGACATTTGGTAGTTTATTATTGTCGTGTTATATAGTCTGCTTCTTTTACCTACGACTTGGAATATATTTTCTATGAATCTGAACTCTATTAATATATGGATCTTATTAATTTTTAGGTGCAAGATTTGGTTATGTACAAACAAAGGTCGGAATTATAAATATACTGTCGAAGTTCAAGTTTAAACTGCATCCCCAAACTCCGATACCTCTAAGTATGGATAAATCATCATTCTTGCTTTCAGTCAAGGACGGTATACATCTTATTTTTGAGCCACTGTAAACTAATGGCGGACATATTTTTAAATGATAAAATGTATGCCGAGTATGTCTTAAAGTTGAGTGTTATTAATATCAAAGAGGAAATACATTTTTTAAATATCTAGATTTGCTGAAAATTTTAAAGATCGATGCAATTGTTCTCGAGATAATCGCAAACGTACATTTATACAAACATGCAAGCTAATTTAAAAAAGCTCTTTTTTTAATAATCTTGAAGCATTGAATTATTTTATCAAAACGTTTTATATGTTTGAAATATATTTCCAATAAAACTATGAAGTTGACGGACGAGT